CGTATTCTACTGCTAACAATCAAATCTAGGTCTCCTGTATGCATGGACACTGTAGGTAACTAACTCACAGCCTTGAAAGTGCGTTTGCGACATTATATTTCTATAACTTAGATCATGAAAGCAATTTTTGTGACAACCCTGTCCGCACAAGCGTTCTTTGGACGTCCTCGAAGCTTTTTTCAAACCTCTTAGCAGGGCCCTAATTAGACAATTTTGAACGCAGAACTGCCAGACAAAATGTGCAGCAAAACGGTTTTATAACACGCGCAATCTAGTGCCCACCAAATCAACCCTGCGTGCTGTTTGGCACAGAGGACAATGTTCAAAGCTTTACTATGCTTCCACGTAAAGATGGTGAAACAACGAAGCGTGTAATAAAAGCTGCTCTATTTGCCTTAAAGCTGCGCAAAACTAATACGATATTATTAACTAAAGTAGAAACTAATCACACTAACGTATAATCTGTAAGCATATCTCTTCTGAGCCTATTTATTTAAAATACCTGCCGTGCATTTAGCGTCTCGTCCCGGAGCACTTAGCTAGTCCTCTATTGTGCCGACAGGCAAGCCTCGGAATTTTAATGCGACATGTATGATTACTTTAATGCAATAGCACTTTTGGTTTTTGGGTTTCCTAGCGGCTGGTTCATCATCGCAGCCACATTTATGTGGTTTCTTTAACAGCGAATATTTGGTAAACATAGTAACTTTTACATAAAAATTGGGCCTATGGCTTATTATCCTATCCGCACAGCTGGACTGCCAACCCACCCACTGGAGAGTGATTTGGGTCAATAGCAATGTAGCAAAAAGTAGGATGATAAATGGCTTGCTAGGTCCACAGGGGCCGTTACCTAATATGCTGAATTCTTATCGGTACCATTTCTTGATTAAACTTTCCTTTGTAACCGTACATTCTGTCAGCGCGTGATTTCTTGAGGGCCACGCGTTACAAATTATCGTGCCGTTGGCCGCCGCAGTCGGCTTGTTGGAAGACTTTCGGCGATTCAAATTTATTGCTTGTTTAGCTTAACGACTATGGTAGTAAGTATTTACAAGTCTGGACGCAATACTAGCGTAACGTTGACGGTATATCCATCCCGTCCGCGTGAGGAGCGGAACCGTTTCTCCTCGCTTGAGTGTGGTAGCTCCCTGAATGACCAGATTATTGGCCCAGCAGTCTAAGTGTGCACATTAGAGACGACATACTGGCTACTCAAACTATCTTCCAACGCACCCTAAAAACCGAAAGGAAAAGTTCATGTTTGCAAAGATTGTAAACAGGGAGGGATAATCTACCTCCTATTAGTGGCTACGCAACGCTGTAACCGTCAGTCTAAACCCAAAATAAAACCCGCCTGGCCAACAACTCGTCCAATAGGAACTTAATTGGGATGAGTTTCCACAGCTCAGGATGTGCTAGCTGAATCACCCTGGCTGGCTAGCCGAACAACCTCCACGTGGTGTCAGCTGGGTGGTTCGTGTTTAACCCGTTCCAGCAAATAGTTCGGCGGCAGTGTTCCAGGACGTGGTGGGTTTCGCCTGGCAAAATTTCTCCCTATAAAAAGCCACAAATATCTGCTTAACAACACTGTGGCGCGGCGGTCGTGACTCGCCACAAAATAAAGTCACTGCTCCGTGGATATCCGGATAATTTTCTCCAACCCACGGACACCAATATCCTACTTGCATATTGATGACAATATCAACATCGAGGATAAGAGCAGCACAACTATAAGCAAAAAATACACAGCTACATACACATACGCGCACAATGACATATATATAAACACCCTACACAAACGCAAACTGCTATGGCAAACATATTGGAATTTTGGACATTCTTGATCATGCATCTTTATGTCAAAATGATCCTGCCTGTAAAGGCGTGCCTCACCTTGTTGAGAATAGAAGATTTATTTATTTATTTATTATATACAGTAAATATATGCTCCTGAGGGCGCCTCTACACTACGACCACGATTTTTGGAGTTCTGTGCTATGACAACGTACCTGGGTCCAAGCACATTGACACAAATAGTATTGTTAAGAGCGCTTCTATGCTATGAGCACGAGCCACGGAGCCCAGTATTATTACAGCCCACCTGGGTCCTATTACATTGGCAAGCAAGGTGCCGCTGGGGGAGCCTATATTCTACAGGCAGCAGCCTCACAGCCGTGCTATTACAAACCACCTGTGTTCTAGTCCTTTTGCATAAAAGTTGCCACCGTTGGGGCAGCTATGCTACGAACACAATCCTCAACGCCGTGCTATTCCAACCCTTCTGAGTCCCATTAATTGGCAGTAAAGGTGCCAACGTTAAGCCTATATACGAAGAACACAAGCCCCGGAGCCGTGGGTTATTAAAACCAGCCTGGGTCCTATCACATTTGCATCAAAAACGCTGCTAATCCAGCACCTTGTCAGAAAGACGTTAATCACGAATGAGCGCAGGAATCGCGATAACAACTTTATTTGTGTTAAGCACATAGCAGTATGTGACAAGGTTCAGCATTCTTAATTCAATACGTGCTTAAGTACGCATGTCCCTTGCAGTGTATCGTTGCACAAAGTCGTACTCATCGACTAAACAATGGTATTAATATGAAGGTACAGCATACTCTCAAGCAAGCAGTGCGGCAATTATGCATTTACACCGTTCCATAAAATGGACAGTTACACATTCCCAAGGAGCAAACAATAGTAAAGCGGTTCCTCTGGAGAGCTACGTCGAGCTCTGGAGGCGTCAGCAATCGATATGCTTTGAACCCTCTCACACTCACCTTAACTCCACATATCACGCCATTACAAAGGCGCGCGTCCGTCGGCCGTCGTTCGCGTCCGGTACGGTACGGCGCGTGTCGTCGGTTTTCGCCAGCCCGTTTTCCCGTTTGTTCGCGCGTGGCTACCGTTTGTTAGGACGTCAACGTCGTTCGTATCGGTCCCCATTCGGTTTAGCCCCGCTGCGTCGTCGCGCCGTACGTATTTACCGTTCTGTTGGTCGCCGGTACGCCGTTAGCCCCGCGCGAGTCTCGCCGCCACCCGTATCGTCGACTCCTTCCGGTCGTAACCGTGCCCCCCCCTCGTCCCCCGTGGTCAACGCGGTCCTTGTGTGCGTCGTCCGCGTGGTCGTAACGCCCCCCGTAACGCGCAGGCGTGTACCTCGGCCCCGGCCGCCAGCCTGGCCTTGTCGCCCAGTGCATCCCACGACGCTAGGCGTGTCGGCGTTTATCTGCGCCGTCGCTGTCTTCTTCTCATACCCAAAGTTGTCAACGCGGAAACACCCGAACGGTTACACGACCGTTAGCTGTGGCTCTCACTAGTGCTTCTATCGGGTGACGTTCCATAAGATCTGGCCGCCCGTGCTGCAGTTGGAGCGACCAAGTATGAATGCTAATAATCGCTTAATTGAAGCATTCCATGAAGCGGGTATGGGTGTCTAGAGGCTACCTACGCCTTGCACTGTTTCGTTGCGGCTCGGCGCCGGCCGCGTTGAGAGATGCGCAGTTTCGGATTTTTACGGCGGTTGCGTTCTTGGACGTAAGCCAAAGCGTTTGATACTGTTTCGTTCTGATCGCGTGACCTTCGGGCGGCGCCAGAGCCAGGGTTGCCCGGGCCTCTACTGCGATATCTGCGCAGCCCAACTGTCTACCCACCACAATCGGTGCGCCGGAACAGCTAATGTTGGCCATGGTGAGCGTCTTACAGTGGTAGGGGAGTGAGGCAAGGGGATACCCTGTCTCCTTGACTTTTCATTATGACTATGGTCGCGAGCGGTCGGGCGGGGTCCACTTGCCGTGCCGTACTTCGGGACAGGGGCTCGGGGAATCTGCTGGTGTGTGGCGCAGATCGCCGAACCGGGGATGCGCGCGTTGTTTTGTGTTACGGCTCATGTGTCGCCTGGTGGGACTGGCCTGTGCATAGTAGCTAACTCTCCCTCAGAACTCCAAGCTACGCTCGAAAGGCTTGAGACTCCACAGGGACTACGAGGAGGCAGCGTTATCGCGCATCGTGGCGGACACAGCGCCGCCTAAGGTGGTTCGTTCGGTCTATCGACGGATTATTACGGGAAGCGGACCCCGGGGGATGAGGAAGACTAGTAGTACTGGAGCCCTCCGATCCTACTCACTGTCTGTGTGCTATGCTCTCTTCTTTTCCTCTCCTCCGGTTGTGTTGTCATGCGTTGTCGCAGACGGAGGTTACAACTCAGACTGTGAGTAGGAGTGAGGCTGGCGCCCAGTACGGGGACACTTGGACTCTCCCTCCTCGTCCCCTGCTCGCCTCGCCTTCAGTCGTGTCACTGGTGAAGACCGTACCAAGTTGCGGCGGTTGGTTCAGATGGCCCATACACGGGACTCTCGTTGTCCTTTAGTTAAGCCTTCAGCTTAGCTTGGAGTTCTGAGGGTGAGTTAGCTACTAGCACCAGGTCATCCGCATGAGGCCAGCGGCTCCGTTTCGGATCGCCCGCCTCAGCGGCTCTCGGATTCCCGACCGGTATATCCTCGTCCCGACGAGTCGCAAGGAAATCCCCCCTCGTCCATTGCTCATAATGAAAGGCAGAGGAGACAGGGGACTACCCCCTGTGGCCTCAGGCTCCCCTACCACATGTAAGACGCTCATCCTTCCAACAGTACTCTGCTCGCCCTATTGTGTGTACGTTGGTCACACAGAATTATCGCGCGCGTATAGTAGAGGCCCAGGGGCAACCCTTGGCTCTCGTCGCCGCCGCCCGCGCAGCAGCACCGAGTCATACGATACGTATCAAACGCTTTGGCTACGTCAGAGAATTCAACCGCACGGAGCCGCCTCGATCTGGTCGTACCCGGGAACTGCGCATCTGCGCCCGACGCAACACTCATACAGTCGCACAGGGAGAGGTGGCCCTCCCCCCGTCACTAGCGACTACCCCGTACCCGTCGACCCCGCTGCGCTGGGAATGTACTTTGAAGCGATTGTTTAGCTTCATACTTGGGTCTCCATCGGACGCGCCAAAGATGTCTTTATCGGAACCGTGCCCTGTATCGTACGCAGCTGTGAAGCCACAGCTCATACGGTCCGCGGACTACAGTTCGGTCTCGGTAGTGTCTGTCCGCGGGGTTGCCAGTTCCTTTTGGATCGGTCACTCGTCGAGTTGTAGTATACGCGCGCCCGGCTAACGAGTCAGCCTTAGTCGGGATCTGGAGTACCAGCATCAGGTTGAAAACCTGCGCTAGCACACTGCTGTTCATACGTCTTAGTTCTAGAGTGGTCAAGGCATCTGGTCCTGGGCTTGTGGTGTTCGAGCCCTTGAGTACATTTTGGATTTCCGCAACGGTGATTTGGGAGATTAAGTCGTAATCCTCAACCGCATCCGGGGGCGGTCTTGTGCCCACCGAGCCTGGAGTAGTAAAAGTATTCCGCCAGTACTCCTGGCTACCGTCGCCAAACTTGTCCGACATCTTGTAGATGTCTTTCCAAGTTCCATCGAATATACAGCCTGCTGCATCCTTGACCTTCTTCCGGTAGAGAGTCTGCACCTTTCCGTAAGTCACCTTACGAATCTTCCGCTTACCTACTGCGACTGCGACCTCTGGTTTCCTCCGCTTGACCCACTTAGATGGAAAGCATGTATTCAAATGGGTCTCAAACCTAACCTGAGCCTCGGCGATGGTTATCCGTCCCCCCCCCCCCGGATGTTCAGGGCTAGATCTAGAAGCAAGTCTGATTGGAGCCTCTCGTCGCAGTGTTCCGACAGCTCCCTTACTATAGTGTCGAGCATTGCTGCCCTCCACTGCTGCTCTGCGCCGTCTCGCTCTGCCCTAACCGGCGAGGACGGAAGCACTAAATCTACCAACCCTTCCAGGTCAGCAAACTCAATGTCCATCAATGTCGGAAAAGTCAAGAGTTCGACGGGTCCTACACCAGAGGGGGATCCGCCCAAGTCCATGGCGTGACTAGGCGTTTCCGAGGCTAGAGGAGATCCTAAAGGCGTTCGGATCTTGGTCCTCTTGGCCACCCTCCCTAAGTCTTCCACTTCGACTGGAGAACTTTCGTGTGCAGTCCGCTTGGTACCACCCTGGGCCGACTTCTTGTATGGTTCAAGTCGCCAGCTCATCTTCCTCAACTGCTTCTTAATCCCCTCCGCTGACCGTCCCGGAAAAACTGAGGTCAGTTGTTCATATACCTGCTGTTTCTGGACACCAGTAGTCCAGAGCCCTTCGGCATAACGTAGCAAGTGGGTGCACTCTACCTTAGTCCATTCACCCTTCCGTCGCGGCAACCCTTCCAGGCGTTCCGCATTCAGCTCATCGGGATGCTTATGCCGCTTGTGCTGAGACAAGCTTCTCTTACTGGCATATACATGTCCACAGAAACATGCGAATTCAATACTCGTACCAGGAACTGAACCAATAACCTCTCCATCTAAATCACAATCTCGGGTTCCACCCGGATTCGAACAGCGGGGTCGAGCAGGTTCAGAAAGTCTGCTCATATATTTCGTGATTAGGTTGTGTTTCATGATGGTTCTTAACCCGCTTTGTACTCCAGCAGGTGAGTCAGTCCTGAAGGAGGTTGGCCTGGATCTTAGCCGAGCAATGTTAGCATCACCCGTTACCAGCGGTCGCCACGTGGAGGCGCCCAGGCCGTGTAACTACAACTCAATTAGACTCAACGCACGCACAGACTGGGTACAGAGACGAAGCCCTCATCCCTAATTAAGCGTTCGTTATATCCTGTACCTGCAGCCGAAGCCGCAGCATCAGGCACGCACCTGCAGGATCGCGAGTCAAG